CTGGATTGTGACCAAATATTGAAAGCACCATGCCAGGGAATGTATTCTTTTCCTTGGTAAGTTCAAACTAAAGTACTATTTTCAAAACTAACACAAAAATTCCCATACTATGAATTTGTCAGTCAATTATAAATTAAACAACATAAAACATTTGATGGCCATGGAACTGTGGACATAATACTTGGACCAATATAGTCTTTGATCCTCGACACACCAAGAGACTAGACAGTCATGTGGACTCCTCGAGGCCACAGACTGAAAATAATTCAGATTTTTCTGTAAAGTATATTGATTTATTGCCAGTTACCAGCAGTCATTTTGAAATATTTCAATAATTAAAAGATGATACCAGTAAATAAACACGCACTTTCAGTATAATTTGTCTAAGTTTCTAGACAACACTGCTAATTTTTTGTTTCTGTAGAGTCAAGTACAGAAGTGAGCAGATTGATGAAATCTATAACATCATGGAAAGAATTGTAGAGAGGAACTGGGCCACTCGAATGCCACTTGGTTCCCGCTTGTCACATGTGGGACAAACATAAATGAAGTCACAATAATGGTTACATTATTCAGACATTGAAACTACATTCAAGATAAACGTATGGCAAGGCATTCATTTGGATTTTCTTAAAAATGAATAGGTGAGCAAATCGTTTTCATGTTAAGTAAAACATAGTGTTTTTACGTTATTTGAAGCTTTCCTCTTCATAATAATTAAAATAAGAATGGGTTGGTACATGAATATCCAAAGTACTTTCCTGAAGTCCACTCAGCAGCTAGCTTCTTTAAGCATCCAATAGATCATATAGACAATTTTTCTGTGGGGAAATCCTGGAGGGACTGGAACCCTTGGACACATTTAAATGGGATCTGGAGAACGTTAGCAAATGATCCTTAAATTTAATTCTCTAATCTTTGACTTTGCAGCTAAGGAGCGGGTTACATCCGTGGGAATGCTGGTGGGTCCTGAAGCAGCCCCAGACCATTTGACCTGGCCTGAAGATCACTATGGCTAACTGGAAGAAATGCCCACCATAGACTAGACAATATACTAAACGCGTATAATTAAGGTATGGCGACCCATATATTTCACATGGCCAACCTTTTGAGGTAAGCATTTTTACACTCAAAATACAAATGAAAAACATCTCAAGCCAGTAGATCTAATGAACTTTCCAAGAGGACAGACAGAGCTTGGAAATGGCAGAGCTTGATCTGGAATCTTGATATTTGACTTGTGCCCGTGGAGTAGGGGTAACCTCTCCTACAAGTCTGGAGGGCCACGTGAGTGGAACGGTGTTAAATTACATTATGATGAGAAATACATGTGTTATCAACTTTCCCCTGAAATTACTCAAGCTAACATTTATTACTAATGGTTCTCCAAGAGATTAAGAAGGATGCATAGGTCAAGGGTTAAAAAAAAAAAAATGATTGTTTGCAATGTCACTCATGAGAAGTCATATATCTTTTTTGACTGAAGTCACAAGGTTGAAATAACTTAGTTCTATCAAAATAACTTAGTTCTATCAAACATTACATAAGACTGATTTATTCCCTCCCCACTAATTGATATGCTCTTTAATCCATTTATCCTATATATTATATATATTATATATTTTTTTTTTTTTTTTTTTTTTTTTTTTGAGACAGAGTATCCCTCTGTTGCCTGGGTTAGAGTGCTGTGGCGTCAGCCTAGCTCACAGCAACCTCAAACTCCTTGGCTCAAGTGATCCTTTTGCCTCAGCCTCCCAAGTAGTTGGGACTATAGGCATGTACCACCCTTCATACCCAGCTAATTTTTGATATATATATATATACATTTTAGTTGTCCAGCTAATTTATTTCTATTTTTAGCAGAGACGAGGTCTCACTCCTGACCTCCAGCGATCCTCCTGCCTAGGCCTCCCAGAGTGCTAGCATTATAGGCATGAGCCATTGTGTCTGGCCCAATAAATGTATATTGAAGTTTCCGCTAGTGCAAACTAGTGAAAACATGTCCTCATCAATTATAAAATAATTATTTCCTGCTCAAACTGTTATGAAAGAATGAATAACTTACATAAAACCATTTTCGTTTCATCAAAATTTGCGTTTCTTTCCCTTTTATCAGAAATGACAGATCTTTATGCCCTTCAGTTAGCACAATGCTGACTGCTTACTTGGCACTTAATTTATCCTTAACTGACTGACGGGAAATAACACAGAACACTGAATAAACCAAAAGACCCAATTTTTATCCTCAGCATGCAGCCCATAAAGAAAATCTGGGGGTAAAGCAAGAGACATACTTACAACTACTCCTCTTTTTTCTAGTTCTTGGAAAACATCCTTCTTAGAAACAGAAAATGTTAGTGTCAGCTGGCAACCCCGATCCTCTATACGGGATGGCGTAATTATGTTCACCATTGGTTTCTTGGTGTCTGCTTTATCTTTGCTGTAGTAATGCTTGATCAGGTATTCCAGATAACCAGTTAACAAAATAGATTTTCTCCTCAATGCTTTCATAGTTGCCTGGTTAAAGATCTGCAGAATGAGAAACGATCGGATTAAAGTTTTGTATTCATTTACAAAGAAGCAAAAAGTAAGTGTAAATCATGCATAAAAAAGGAACTTGTCCTTTTCCCAGTAAAGGGACTTGCCCACTTTTCCCAGTTAACATCCACATTATATAATCTTTTTTGTAAAATCATGTCCTCTTTTAAATGCTTTGCCATTAAAAACTGAAGGTGAATTTTTCATGACAGAAAATTTGTACAAGTATCACTTAAAGAATACTTACAAAAGAAAACATTAAGTTAATATCATCACATACCTTCAGCGTTATTTTAAATGAACTAAATAAAACTCACCTTAATAAACGCATTTAAATATCATAAAATTTAAGCTCTTTCTCCAAAACTATTTTATAAAATCATATCCAAAAAAGGCTTTTTCTATTCTAATATAAAGTATGTGTGCTCCACAAAAAGTGCAATATGAGTGAAACATGCATGCATAACGTGGAAAGTGATGTTACCAATATTATTTATAATTGTTTTACTGACTCCTAAATCTCTCTCGGTTGAACAGTAAGAAAACAAGCAGTTAAATAATAAAGCTAAGTCTTCTCAACAGGTAGCAATGCTGTTAGAAAATACATTCATTTATACTGAAGCGTTTCTTCCTTCCTTCTCCTCCCTCCCTCCTCCCTTCCACCTCTTTCTCCCTCCCTCCCTCCCTCCCTCCTCTCCCTCGCTCTCCTCCGTCCTCCCTCCCCTCCTCCCTCCCTCCTCTTTTCCTTCCTCCTTCCTTCCTTCTCCTTCTCCTTCCTCTTCCTTCCTTCACTTCTTCTTCTCTTTCTCTTTTTTCCCCCTTCTAAACCCTAGATTGGTTGCGAAATATGCCTTTGCTGCCTGAGGTGTCTTATATGAAGCATGAGTGACAAGGACACAATAACTTGTGCTGGAACATTAGGGTCAGAACAGACAGTGTTTTCTGGCTTATATCTTAAGGTCAAGTATGAGTTTAAAATATATCAATATAGAACTGAGGTGAACTGCAAACAGGCACATGATGCACTGGCATGCCACTTAATGTCCCTTTTCTGTATTATGAACAAAATATCAAGAGCAAAGATAGGGTCATTTGGTGATACCAGACTTTATCAAGCCTGTGAAAATATTTATTATTGTCAGACATGTTGCATGAGTGGGCAGGCATTCTAATAGGACTCAAACCATTCAGGCATAGATTTTCAGGAATTATATTGTATGGAAGCTGAAGGAGAGGGTGGGAGTTGCATTGAAGGTAATGGTTTCTAAAGAAGAGAGGAGAGAGAGAATAGAATGGTAACTATCTCTCTGTTCAACCAGACCTCAGCCTGTCTGAAGCCTACAAAGATATCAGTTGCAAGTGGAGGCTGATATTTTTGTTTCATAAGCCACTGAGATCATGGCTGCAAACAATACTGCTTCCAGACTCAGGTGACCTGAATTTACACAGAATTTGGTAGGAAGTATCTCTTCATTTGCTCATGTAAAACTAAGTGTGGTAGACTTGGCATGCTGAGGATCAAGGAAGCCAGCCAAGTTGTGGAATCAGGTCCAAGAATCAACATTCTCGGAGGGCAGGTTCAGGCAAGCGCATGGACGCTGGTGGTTTGGCTGTGAGGTTTAGAATAAAAAATTACGAGAGGATCTTTCCAAGAGTCTGGAGATTAGTAATATTCTAGGAAATCCTAATTAATAAGTAATTCTAGAAAATTTTATGGTTCTGCTATAGATGGCATAGTATGCGGTAGAGGCCAAGTGTGATGAATTAAAAGTAATTTGTCACACATTTTGGTTCATTTGCAGTCATAAGTTAGTAAGACTTGGGGGAACATTACTTAAGTCTGTAATTTTTTTTAAAGGGGTTAGAGGGTCTTGCTCTTGCAGATTTCTCTTGATAATAAGAAACCAATTTTTTTTGTAGGACAAATAGTTTCAATTTTAATATACTGTGGAATGTTGTTACTCTTTGTTAATAAAAAAACTTAAATATAAAACTATTTCTCACATTACAACCACACCAAGGGCAGCCACATTCCAAGGTTAGATTCCAAGGTTAGATTCTTCTCTTGGGGCTAAATATTAAGAGGGTCTAATAGCATGAAAGTAAGACAAATATTCTTTCATTTTTGTATATCCATTTTTATGCTTTTAATATTGAGAAAAAATAACTTTAAAATTAGAAAAATTGAGAAGTGTAGCTTGAAAACTATTCAGCTTATTAGAGAATTCTTGGCAGAGTTTTAATTACTTGGATCATTTTTTTTTTTGCTGAGTAAAATAAACACAAAGCTAGGAAAGTTAGATAAGATTAAATAGGAAAAATAAATATAGCATGATGTTTTCAGTTGTCATATTTTTCTTTTAAATTCATAAAATTGGCTTCCTAATAACTTTGCAAGGAAACACATAATGCATTTTTGTGTTCTGAGTCTTTTGACTCTCCCTGAATTTTAATCGAATGCTCTAATTTTGTATTTTGAAGCTATTTATCTTGTGATGAACACGTATACTGAAAGGGTCTAAAAATTGTCTACCTATTGCTCCATACAATATGAACTTTCAAAATACAATATAAATGTATTATTTAATTTCAAATAAGTAATTGGAAGATTGAGGGAACTTCTGAAGTAATCTAGTCCAAATATCTCCATTTAAAAAGCGAGGCAAATAAATTCAAGAATTTTTGCTTGTCTGAGGTCATATTTAGTGTCCAGAGAGGAACAGATTGCTTGCCTCCTGAGTTCCAGCCTCATGCTCCTTCTCTTAATCCAGAATATTTAAAAGAATTATTGTGTAAATGATTACGATCCAATAATATAAGAACACGACAGTTTGAAACCGATTATAAGGTGCTATTTTTAATACCAATCAATCATATATTCATGCAATTATAAGCAAAGCCACATTAATATATTTTTTTTAAAAAATCATTGCACTGAAAATCTGAGGTCTTATTTATGTGCAATTGATTCTCAAATATAGAATCTCTCTTCCAGTTGGTATTTCACTATGCAGAATATTTTTTGAAAGAAGATACAACAATGACAGCAGTTTGATTCATGCATATTTCTTTCATTTATTCTAACTTCAACCCCCCCCATCTCCTACGATGCAATGAACTATTTAAAAATGATCAGGTAGCTAATAACATGGATAAATTCACTGATGCTTACTCACATGGCAAGCTCATAAGTGTCTAGAAAATAGGACACTTAAACAGTTAGATATAGAATGGGAAGTAATTATTATAAATGCATTATTTTGTAATTTTATTTTGTTTTGCAATTTATAATGGGGGAAGAATTTTGAAAAACACTTGGACCTACATAAGGCTTGATTAACTAAAGATTTTGTTTAAATATAGCCTCCATAGTGAATGACTTCAATAAGAGGCTCTAGAGAAATACTTAAGTGATAAGGAACTCCAGAGGTGTGTACCCTTCTTCTCATGGCTTTTAGGGTCCTTTTTTGCTGGGTTTAAATTTAGGCATTAAAGGGAAAAAAATAAATGAGTCCTCAGATTGTAAATGAAAATAAAAGTTTTAGATGACTGTAATACAGTGTGGAAGGAAGATAAAGTGGTAGGAAAAATAAGAATCTGCCTCCTTTTCCACAGCGACAGGGTGAATACTGGAAGAAAAGCCAGCCAGTCCACTGCAGAGAACGTATCAAAATGAGAGTGTCTAAAAGGAAATCTCTAGATGCCTTTGAGAAGTCATTTGCAAAGATAAGGAAAATCAAAGGAAATTTCTTCAAGTACTAGTTCTTCCATAGATAGGTTTGTTTCAGTGCGTTTTCATATTGTAATTCATCTTATCCCTGATATAAAACTTGCAAAGAAAGCAGAAACTTTGTTTTGTTTTAAAAACAAAATGTTTCTCTTAATGGATAGCATTAAAAAACTCAAATATTATCATCTGATTTACTAAGCATATTTTTGCTCAAAAAAAAATTTCAAAAAAGGTTCCACTGGCTGAAAAATCTCATTACTGGATCTATTTTCCAAGTTTAAAAAAAAAAAAAATTCTGCCAAATGAAAACAGCACAAGCACCATCTAGTGGTCAAACTGAGTAAGTGCTCTTTAAATCTGGATGGAACGACAAGAGAGTATCACTATGCGGTGGTGAAGTTGCATAAAAACAGAGGAACTTGACACTGCCATCCAGTGGCCAGAATGAGAAACTGCTATAATTGTTCACAATTCTAGAATTTTAGATTTGGAAGGAATTTTGAAAGTCTTTATCCAGTCACTCACTTGATACTGGCATCCTCTGCAACAGAATTTCCTGAAGTATCATTAACTAGATGATTTGGGCAAGAATTAAATAAAAAATTCAAATTCTTATTTGAATAGCTATAGATAGCTAGCAACATATATAGCTTCTGTTAGAAATATGTATGTATATTTAGTTAAAATATATTTTACTTAAATAAATGTATATAAAATATATATTTACTTAATATGTATGTTAATAGTATTATTAACTATACAGTATATAATTATTAAGCAACATATTTACTCAAATAAATTTAGTCTAACTCTAATAATATCTGAGGAATCAGTTTATTTTCTATATCTGTATATCTATTTATATATATTTATCTGTTATATATATAAACTAACTGATTTTATGGATATTAATTTAAGGGTGAGACTAAATTTAAGTAAAAATATGAACAAATTTAAAGGAAAATATTGAGTTAGTAATTGTAGAAATTATATATGGCCATAAGGGCACAGAAGCCAAAGGGAAAAAAACAAACAAACACCCTACCTCATGAGGCAACCTTACTCTATCTTTATTTTACTCTGATTAGTCATAGTCTTTTTTTTTTTCCTTAAAGTAAGTCTTCCTATGCTTTGTCACAAAGCACTTTGTCAGTTCATTGATTCAGAATGAGCTAGAAGAAAAAGAGATTCCAGTACTCACCACATCTGGCATATAATACTTTCTCAATAAATTCATGTTGAACGAGTGGATTAATGAAGAACAAAATATTGCATGCTTAGTTAGTATACAGAGAGACCAAAAGAAGGTTAAGTAACTTATTCAAGTTTGCACAGATTCTAAGTGGAAACAGAAAAATGTGTCTCCCCCTGAGTTCCATTTAATATTTACTATGTGTCACCAATGTGCCTAGCATGTGCTAGGGGTGATGATATAAATGAAAGGACACAATCACCACGTGGGTACTTTACAAGAGGAGAGTGCTGCCTCTTGTCTACTGTTCACACGCAGCACACATTTATAATTATGCTGTTTAGCTGAAAAAGTACTACAGATTGTCACAATCAGGTAAAAAAAAAAAAAACCAAAAAACCAAAAGATGTGGGAAGTTTGAAACATAGATCACTTACCTCTAAACTAGCTTGTAAGGAACAAACCAACAAAATGGGAGGATTTGAAATTCGGAATCCACTGACGCCTGGGATTAACTGCAGCTCTGAAAAATTAGTATCATGTCATTTTTATAGGGTGTACATTTTAAGGTAAAAAGTGTCTATAAAGGCAGTAAAGTGGTAAAGAGTAGAGGAGTAAAACTTAAACTTTTATTCCTAGGTAGGATTTCTGAGATATTTAAGAGAAAATCAATGAAGCCACTAGAACCTTTAGACGCAAGATAAAAATTAGCTGTTCTGGAAGTTTTTCTGGACCCCATCCATTGTCTTCCCATTCCCTAGGCAACATTTCTTGTGCTGCCCACGCTTTGCTTTTCTATTATGAAACCATGTCAATGAGAGACAACTTCAAAATTTGAATGGAATATAATTGTAATGTCACCTAAAGGCAGAAATATGAATGCAATGACCTATGAAGATGACTTTTAGCTATAGGATTATTAGGTCAAGTGGCTTCTCTTAGGAAAATGATGGGAGAGAGCTTTAAAAAAAGATCTGCTCAAGTATGATATATAAAATAGGTAAATTAATAGCAGATACTATTCCAATTACAATTAAGTAGATTAAATTGTAACAAGTTAAATCCAATAGGGTTAAGATGTCTAGCTCCAGATCAAGTTAAAGCTAAGATTGACTAAAAGAATGTTAAAGCATTTTTTAAATATTCATTGGACCCTGGACTTGACAAACTATGGCTTATGGGCCAAATTTGACCCACTACCTGTTTTTTTAAATACAGTTTTATTGGGACATAACCACAATTATCATTTATGTGTCATCTATGGCTGCTTTAGCACTGCAATGACAGAGTTGAGTATTTGCCACAGGGACTGTGTAGCCTAAAAGGCTTAAAACTTTTTCTGTCTCATCCTTCATAGAAAAAGTTTGGCTACCCTGATCTAATTTAATTCCCTTATTTACAGATAAGAAAAACCATCTTAAAGAATTTAACTAACTTACATAATAACAGAGCTGATTACTTCAACAGATAAGACAAAATACAGGTTTCTTGATTTGACAGGAATAGCCTTATTTGTAATTTGAATGTTGCAAATCCAAATACAGATGATTATCCACTTACAGTGGTTGGACTTAAAAAATTTTCAACTTTACAGTGATAGGAAAGCGATTCACACTCAGCAGAAACCATACTTCAAGTACCCATACAACCATTCTGTTTACCACTTGCAGTCCAGTATTCAGTAAATTATTTGAGATATTGAACACTTTATTAAAAAATAGGCTCTATGTCAGATGATTTTGCCCAACGGTAGGCTAATGGAAGAGTTCTGAGCATATCTAAGTTAGGCTAGGCTAAGCTACGGTGATGGTCAGGTTAGGTGTACTAAGTATATTTTTGACCTACACTATTTTCAATTTACAATGGATTTATCGAGACATAATTACATTGTAAGTGGAGGAGCATCTTCATATATAAAACATTATCTTGTGGTCAGAAGGAATCTGAAGGATCAAGTTGATTGAATTCTCAAAACACCTGTGATGCTTTCTATATCCCACGTGATCTAGAAATAGAATCACTCAGGAAAAAGCAGCAGTGCAGTTGTGAGTCGTATGTATGGTATAGTTTCATTTCTACCCATTAACGTTTCACTGCTTATTAGAATTGCTACACTCTTTGGTATGTGGCAAAAGCCACAAAAGGAGGATATTTAGGGAAAAAAAGAGGCATAAAATGAATATTTATTAAAGTATTTCCATGGGGTTGCTTGGTTTGCTGTTTTGAACTTGTCTTACTCTTAAACCAAACACTTACATAGGTGTTATTATTCATATTAGATATGTGGAAAAGAAAAACAATTACCCAAGATGATACAAATTGTGCAAGATCACAAAACTATTAAGCAGCAAAGTGAAACTAACACCCAAGTCTCTCCGGATCTGATCTCAAACCCCAAATTCCCTCCTGTCCTCACTGCTCGATGTTTTGGGCACACCATATTCATAGGATCTGACCAAACCACATGTGCTGCGTGTTAGACTTTGTTTCCTTTTATCTCCTTACAAAGGAATACACTCAAATTCATGCTAAAATCTATAAACATGTAGTCTTACACTCTGGAAATGTCATTTCTTATTTTAAGAATTCTCAGTGACATTTTCAAAGTACACTCTCTGTGGGGCATGTATATTACATACAATACAAAGACAGATGAAAATTGAAATGAAATTAAAATAAAATGACTTAGGTAAAATTGAATACACTTACTGTTATCCATTTTGAATCTCGTGCTGAGTTCATGGCCAAACCATCCCACTAACCTAAAATATAAATAACAACATTAGGTATTATATATTGATCTATAAAAATAACCATAATTAATTTAGGAATTTGGGCTCTGAATATCAAAACCATTTGACATAGCAAATACTTAAGCAGATAAATGCTATATGCTATCATAAGGCAATTAATATTTATAATATTGACAATAATGAGGATAAAATCAATTTATCTGTATTGTAACAGAGGTAAGGGCCTGAAAAAGGGCAAAATAAATGTATTGCAAGTTGTCCCTTTAAATGTACCCCCCCCCAATCTTTTTGGGAATTAAAACCTGCATTCCTGCCTGAAGCTAGTAATTAGAAGGGCAGAGGAACGTGCTTTTTTTTTTTTTTTTTTATCTCTGTACCACAGGAGATGGCTCAATGGAATTGTCCAGGCAGAGGTCAAGAGATTGTCTTCACAGAAGATGCTAAAGTTAAACAGCAATAGACCAAAGCTGAAAAATCCCTTTTAACAGCTCTATACTTCTACTCAAAAGGAAGACAATGGGCTTTTAAGAGGAGAGTCTACCATCCTCCTTATTTGCCAGCAAATCAATAAGCTTCTCTTTCCTTTTCCTCAAACCACTTGTCCTCATTCTTTGTTAGGCTGAGGGGACAAGTACCAAACTTTCAGTAACAGACTTTGGCATCCTTGGGTGGGACCATCAGTGCCCCCTGGTGGAATAGCACCCTGCGACTGTTGCAGTGGCTGGAAGAGGTGGAGAGCAGCCTCCGGTCAAGTTGTGGGTCTTTACCAATTATTAGAAGCAACATCTTTTCGGGGTGAGTGAGGGACCACCACAGCAGCTGCCAGAGCCTGTTTAGCTCCAGGGAACTCCCTCCCTACTCTCCCTCCCCACATTTAGCCATAGCTCTGTGCAACCTGAACCTCGTTGAGGAAAAGGAAACTGATTTGGGAAGTGTCACAATGCCATTGGCCATTTTGGTAAGTTCCCCAGTGTGTACACTGAGACCCTTGATTTCACCCATTTGGGGAAGGTTTTTGAATGTTCCAGCCCTGTGGCAGGGCATGTGCTTGTAGGCATGGTTTGGAGGTGGAAGTAACAGTTGAGTGGAACTAGGGAACCTGGGGAATTCATTTGGATTAGAAGATGTCGGTTCTTGTTCGAGGAAGTTGGTTCTTGTTTGTGTGGTTCCCATTTGTTTGAGAAGGCCTTGGCATTAGGATGATTTGCATTGGGATTTCCCTGTATTGTCTACTGGTTGTATTGTGTTCATTATTGTTGTTTGTCAACAT